CAAAGAAACTATACAATCAAGCAGCTATTTTAAGATGCCCTTGACAGAGGCTGATACTAAATTCATCAACTACAATATTATATCTCTGATTATCTCCCAAATGCAAAAACTCATCGCACATTCTTGTTTGGGCTCAAAAAATGCACGTCCAAAACCAGAACTGCAAAAACATGCTCCACCCAATGTAATGTTTCTGGCTCAAAAGATCTGGCATACACTCTTATTCTGTCTCCCATGAAAACTGCCTCCAGATGTCTAGAAAATAGATTACACAAATTAATAAAATGCCTCAACATGTAAACAACAAAAGATTTGCGATAGTATGATGCTAATTATGCTGTTTCTATTGGTATAGGTTAGTTGCTGAATGTTAATTCAACAAATATTTGCTGAGTTACAGTTGTGCCAGACACTAGCGATAAAAAGATAAACAAGACAGAGCCCCCACCCACAAAGAAGAGCTTATAAAAGCAAAAACAATAATGCAATCATTGCCCTGATACAGCTGTTACTGCCAAGATGCTATGGGCCCATAAATGAAGAAATGCCAACAGTTTGTTCTGTTCTGTTCTGTTCTGTTCTGTTCTGTTCTGTTCTGTTCTGTCCTGTTCTACTCTGTTTTGCTCTGAAGAGAGTGCAGGAGTTCCCGGAAGCCTTCAACAGGTGGAGAAAAATGACTTTAATACTGAGAAAACAAAGAAGTACCCATGCCAGGCAGGAAGCTGAAAGGGGGAAAATATTTTACAACAAAGGAACCAGATATTTTTAGTAAAGCCATTTCATTTTAATGTTGAGAAAATTTACAAGATGATGTCAGCAGGTTTCATCAAGAAGCACACGACTGCTCAGTGGCAGAGCTGAGACCAGAGCCCTCCACCTCCATGCTTTGAACCACTCCATCCTATTTAATAATGGTTACACTTCACATGTATTGACTCTAGAAATAAATTGAGTTCCCTTGTTTTACTTCTATATTTACTGATAGTTTTAAAAATACGAACATTAAAAAAGACACTACTCTTGCCTAGTTTTAATTTTTACTAACAATAATTCCTATAATATGAAGTAAAAATTATTTCATTGCCATAAAATACTGTATTAGTGTGAGAGAAAGCAGACACTGATACATATATAACTATAACATATACATATATGAATGTAAAATGGAATGGTGGAACGTTGACTTATGAACTAAATTTGTTCACAAGGGCTGGATGTAACTCAAGTTGGTTATAAATCAAGACTATTCTTCCCATAAGAAATAATGGAGGGCCGGGGATTTAGCTCAGTGGTTTTACCGCCTGCTGCGCAAGAGCAAGGACCCAAGTTCAATCCCCGGTACCAAAAAACAAACAAACAAACAAAAAAAGAAATAATGGAAATATCCATAATGCATTCCGACCCTTCCAAAGCACCCCTTAACTAACCTTTGCATAATAAAAAAGGTTGTATAATACGCGTAATTTACCAGAAACACCAAACATTTTCCTAGTGTATTCACCAAAAAAGTTATAAAATGTGCCTAGTTTACCAGAAACAACAATTTCATACTGTACTCACCATTCAAGTTGACACCTTTGGCTTGCAGGAAGGGAGGATGAAATGGAAGGTGGTTATTGTTTGGGAGGAGAGTCCCCTTCCATAAGAACACAGGAATCTGGCCCTCTGGTGTCCTTTCTCTCCTTGGGAGAGTCTGTAGCCCATTAGGACCTGCTTCTGGCTCACTGGGTCTCAACCTTTTCAAAAGTAAAAACTGGTCTAAGGTTGTCTGTTTCCACCTTTTCTGTAACACTGTTCTGTAGTATGACATGGCATTGTCACTAAGCAAGTGAATGCAATGATTGGCTTTTTCCTCTCTCTGGGTGGGTCTTCTCTACAAATGTTCGTAGCTCTGTCCATTTTTTCAGGATTTCCTTTATTTCAGAAGAACTTTGTTACACTGATTGTTGATACTCTCCCCGCTCCTCTTCAGAAAGCTCCTCAACTGCCATTCTGTTGCTCAGCCAGAAGTTGCTGAAGTTACTCTGTAGACAGTTCCTCTGAGTGTTCCTCCACCAGTTCCTCAACATCACCACTGTCCACCTGCAGGCCTATGGACTCTGCAATGGTGACAGTGTCATCAACCACAGGGTCAACTGAAGGCTCAGGCTCCTCTACACAGCCTTCAAAGTCTCTCTCCTGTATAATTTTAGGCCACATTTTCTTCCACGCAGATCTCAGTGTCCTTAGAGAGATATTGGCCTAGGATTTCTCAATTAACCCCACACAGGAAAGGATGTTGTAATGTGCCTTCCAGAACTCTTTAAAGGTCAAATCTGTATCTGAGACCACCTGGAAGCATTTTAGGAACAGTTCCTTGGTGTATAGCTTCTTAAAGTTAGCTATAACCTCCTGGCCCACAGGCTGCAGTAGAGGCATTGTATTAGGTGGGAGGAACCTGACTGAGAGCCATGGGAATTCTTCAGCCAAATCTTCTTCCAAATCTCGTGGGTGAGCAGAAACACTGTCCATGATGAGGAGAGCCTTAAGTGGTAAACCTCTATCCTCTAGATATTTCTTAACAGTAGGACAGAAAGCCTCCCTCATCCACCCAAGAAAAAGTACTCGTTATCCAGGCTTTTGTGTTAGATGTCCACATAACCCCTTCATGACTTTTATGTTTTCTGAACACTCTCGGGGTCTCAGTGATAAAGGCTATATCTTGAGTTTGCCACATGCACTGGCACATAGCAATAAGGTTAGACTATAGGCTTGTGGCCTGGCATTTTCTTCTCTTCCTGGGTAACGTATGATCTCCTGGGCATTTTCTTCCAGAAAAGGCCAGTTTCATCACAGTTGAAAACTTGATGAGAGCAAAAGCCATTTCTCAGTGTCATCATTAACAAGTGGTGTGTGTAATTTTCAGCAGCCTTTTAATCAGCACTGGCTGCTTCGCTATGCCTTTTTGCTTTAAAACTGTGAAACCACCCTTTACCGCCACAAAATATTTCACCATTATCACTCATTTATGGATTATCTTTTACGAGATCTGCATTTATAGCCCTAGCTTTTTCACAAATTAGACTCAGGCTATAACCTGCCATCTGCCTTTTGTTTACCCACACTAATATGTAATAGCCCTTCTACCTCATCTAAGACTGTTGATTGGGACTTACTAATCTGAGTAACACCTTTAGCAACACTAGCTTCCATACACAAATCTTTTCTCTCCAAAATTGTCGAGATGGTGGATTTTGATGTGCTGTACATATCAGCAAAATCATACAAATGCCACTCTCATATTTCTCCACAATTTCCTTTTTCTTTTCAATTGTGATTATTTTCTTTACCTTCCCTTCCTTCCTTAGCTTCTTTTCTAGCTTTTTGGGGGGCCGTTTTGATAGCAGTAATCGTAGCGATTATATAAAGCACTGACCTAAATCATACCCACAAACACATGCACCTGGGCTCAGACCGACACTTAAGTACGCTTACATACGCTTTTCTGGCATCTCAAGTCTTTGTTTACAACTGCACAAGCTGCCAATATTCAGGTCATAACACAAGACTTTGGTCATATGTTAAAAGTAAAATTCCAGTCATAACCCAAGCTGTTCATATGTGAGGCCGGTCAAAACTCGAGGGTCCTCTGTACCAACTTTTTCGAACCACAAGATGAACTTATTAAATGACATTACTTTACAGGACTGATAACTCACTGCATTATTTCTAACAGTTAAAGGTTAAAGGAACCTAAGTCTTCACTGATCAAAAACTAGTTAAATAAATTAACCTACCTCAATAAAATAAGGCAGAGCAACCAGTACAGATGAGCATTTCAGTAAAACACTTGAAAGATGACAGTGACCACACCCAGGGGACTGGCAACTCCCCAGAATGGACAGAGCCAAGAGAGAGGCAGGAGGTAAGTGAGATGTGGTAACAAGCTAGACTGGATGAGAAGTCAGGGGCAGAGTGAGGCCAAGAAGTAGCACACCACTCAAAGCTACAATGCATAGATGTGGGGCTTTATTCATAATTTATACACAATGCCAAGGCACTAAATCTATCTGTTAAATGAATAAAGATCTTTTATTTAGTGGCAAAAAGATGAAGGAAACTATTTATACTAACAACAAGACTACAATAAAACAGCTTTGGATATCACTTTTTTAAAAAGGTATAGTACTTAGTGCAACAACTATTTGGGGTAAGCAAGACTAAGACACCTAAGATCACAAGGTAAATGAGAAACACCATCTAAGTACAACCCACTCCCACCCAACCCCAGCACTTGCTAGAAACTGGTTATTTTTAAAACACTGGGGTCCTTTCTTAGTGTGGAAACGGACCCTGGTAACCTATTCCTGAGGGGCTTCTCTAGATACCATGTTACTTCTACACCAGAATGAAAGTGGATCTGGCCCAGCATAAAGACAGTACCTGACTTCAAGCAAAGGAAGCTTCCTGAGGCAAGCCAGTGAGAGGGAAGGTGGGAATCAGAAGGCCAAGTGCTTCCTTCCTTAAACAACATACTTTCTGCAGCCCACCCACATTTTAAGAGCCGGGTGCTGCTCATCTACCACAGAGAGTTTGTCAATAGTTGACTTCAGCTGTTCACGTTGGAAAGCATTAGAAACTAGCAAGCAGACCACTTAAGATAATAACACTAGGTCCAGAAAAAAAGTTAAAATATAGTGCATAAATATTTTTATACTATAAATGACACCAACTGTTGAAGTAAACGAGGAAGAATAAGGTTTTAAATAAAAGAAATGTTGACAGGGTAACAAGAGGAATTAGTTCAGGTCTGAAATGTATTCAATCTAAACATTTTCACAATTTAAGTCCAATTTTTAAGTTAATACAGATTAGATGATTTCCTCAATATTCATCTAGAAAATATTTACAAATTTATAGCATTATCAAATTAACAAGATTCCAAGTGTACATTAAATAGTCCAATTCCAACCAACCAAAAAAGCCCAAGGCAGCAAAAGCCAATATACTCAGTTGTTTACCTGCAGCTCCTTTGAGACTCTCTCTAAGTGATTAGTTATCTTTTTAATCAGATCACTGTACATCTGTTCTGAGTGCTGCTGGCATACACACTTATACACACAACTGTAAGAACAAACAAAAAAACCCCACAGTTAATGCAGAAGCACTTCACCCATTCTAAGGTTAAAACATACTTTCATTATACAACCAATGACTAAGGAATTCAAATCTAAAACAATGGACCAATTACAACTTTTAATAAAAATTTATCCTCCCCCCCAGTGTTTAGATGGAAAAGATATTACAACTAACTGCAAATAATTAGTACAAACTTAATCAGCACTAGATAATCTAATATTGAATGATAATCTAGGCTATAAATATAACTCCTAAAATCAGGTTCTCTCTCGGTCTCTTTTTATATAAATAAATGCCAAAATAAGGGAGAGAGTGATAACCAGTAGAGAGACAGTTTCTAACTCACAAAAACATTTGCAATACAACCTCTTTGTACATCAGTTGTGTGGAACAACATAGTTGTCACTTCTTCCTGTCACTGTACTGATCTCACATCCCACCCCAGTTCCTAATTTGTTGCTTCCATTTACCAGGAGCTGGGAAACAAAGTCATCAAACAGAGTTAGAATTGAGTGTCCACAAACATCAATAGATTAAACTAGGGTCTCCCTGTGAGACTAAAACATATATATTTCTACACCAAGTCCTTCAGTCATTCTTGCTTTTTTCACTGACCTCCACGGTTTTTGTGGTATGCATGGTGGAGATGGCAAGCTGAGGTGGGAGGAAGTCTAACATAGCATGGTTTACTCTATTGATTTGAAAACCACTTTTGTGAATCAAAAAGTATAAATCAAATCTCCAATTCACACGTAGGGAACATATAAATACAGAGCCTCACCTTATGTATTTTGTGTATTATATACATCCAAGCTATCTTAACTCAAGCTGCACTGAACCTCAAAATACCCCTTTTAAGCCCGGGCAAATTAAATATTGACTTACCTGTATATCTGTTCATAGGATATGGGGATATAGTCACCAGGACTCTGGGTTAAAAGTTGATCTATGGCACCATCCAATTTTGGCCAGTATGTGCTCTTATAATCTTCAATAGTTATAACATTCATTACTACAAGTAAAAAGTAAAATAAATATTACTATGTGCCACGTAGTAATTGTACCAATTTTCTACTCTCAAATTCCTCCTTCCATTATCTATCCCACTTAAAAAAAAAGTCTTGGTCAGAAATGTTTCACAGCCATTAATCAGGAGTTTAAATGCTATTATGAATCTGTCCATCTTTAAAAGTAACAAAAGAAGCAAATATCATTTGTTTCCTTCCCAGTTTTCTGCAAGATTGTCAGCCATGAAGCATTCTCAAACATGCTCTGAACCTCAAATATACACTGTCAATTATATGACAAAATAGCCTCTCAGTAAAACACAAGAAAGCGCTAGGAAACCATGAACTCCAACAATCAATGCTTCCCTGGGAAACCCTATCTAATCATAGGGCAATGGGATTAAAGTTTAACTGCTACAGTCGCAGAAGAGGTTAGCAGAAAACTTGGGAACATTTATGGGATCACACTACTACAGTAGTGCCTCTCACACTACTGCAGCTCTCTCACTCTTACCATCTGGAACTTGACAAGCCCAACAGAAAATGAGTCAGTGTCTTGAAGCCTTACAATGAAAGCTTACCTCACTCCAAATAACAGACTCTATTCCTTCACTAGAGGTCTTATAAAGCATTTATAACAGCTGGTCCTAACAACTTTGAAATCCAGGGGTGACAGCTGCTTCATAACAATGAAATGCTAACATTAAAAAAGACTCACCTAAAGAATCTATTCATACCCTGGAAGATCGATGATAATAACTACCAGATCAGATACTTCAGTGTTCTTTTTTGGGTTTTGGGGTTTGTTTTTTTTTACCAGAAATTGGAGATCAGAAAGGTTAAGTGGCTTCCCCTAGAATGCATGGTTAATTACTGCAGGGGAGGTACACAGAAAGGAAACCCTTTCTAACTCATTACTGACTTCTAAACTTAGTCGTTCAGGTCCAAGACTTTTTCTGATGTATCACTTGTATTACTTTTATTTAATATTCTGTTTATTTCAAAGGACACTTGAGAAATGATCTATTGATTCACAAAAGGACATGGCATCATCTTAAATACATTTTGTTCTAGTTGGGGATGCAGAGTGCCTGCCTAGCATGTGCAAGATCCTGGGTTCAATCCCCAGCACCACAAAGGGAAGAAAAAGAAAAACATTTTGCTAAGTGAAAGAAGCCAAACCCAAAAGTCTCCATATTATATGAGTCCCAATTATATGATACAAATAAAGGCAAAACTAAGGAGGGGTAAACATATCAGTGATTCCCAAGGACTAAATGTTAGAGAAAAAGATTACATGGTAGCATGAGGAAATTTTTTAGGGAAAACATTTTTTTATACATTATGGCAGGGGATTCATCACTATGAATTTGTCAAAACCAACAGAACTATATGCCTTGAAGTGAATTTAAGGTATGGCAACTTTTTAAAAAAAATCGATAAGGCTGCAGTGGTAAAGATGAAATGAAAACTGTGACAAATGAATCGAACTTAGAAATGATCACAGGCCCCACAATAAAGAGAACAGGGAGAAAAGGAATGTTTTGACAAGATGTAAAACAGAAAACCAAAAAAGACTGTACACAAACATGCACATGTGTACAAACACATGGACACCGTAAGAAAAAGTCAGCCACTGTAGAGACTTTGAGTAAGATGGGGACCTCTGGAGGGTTTTGAGCAGGTGTGATGTGACCTGACTTAGATTTTATACAAATCATTCCAGCTAATGTACTGAGAGTAAACTCACTAATTGGCCAGAAGAAGGGGGTGGGGCCAGATGGTAGCCTTGAGGACAAGTGGAGGTCAAATTATGGAGAGTGAGACAGGGGAGTCTCACTGTGTAGCCCAGGCTGGCCTCAAACTCTTAGAGATCCCCCTGCCTCAGCCTCCCGAGTGCTGGGATTACAGGTGTGCACCACCATGCCCAGCTCAGAATGTATTTTAAAGGTAAAACCAACGAGATTTGCTGGTGGGTTGAAGAGCGATGTGAGAATAAGACCCAGGCTAGCTCCAGAGGTTTCGGCATGAGTGCCAAAATCTCAGGCTGTTTAGTAAGTGGAGGAGGCCTGCTTATTGGGGTTGCTGCAGATACTGCTGCTGCTCCTCCTGGTTCATCTACCCTGTCCACAAAGGCCAACTGTCAACACTACAACTGCCTGCCTCAGCATTCTGTCTGGTTGCCAGAGCTTGCTCTGTCTGCAGGAGGGCAGGTTGGGAAATCCAGAGAATTAATGCCCCCACAGCTACTTCCAACCACCGACTGACTACTGAGACCTCCAGGTCACCCTGCCCCCAGGGCTCCCTGTGCTGTCAGGTGAGCTGAGCAACACACAGGTGCCACACTGGCGCCCAGAGGTCCCCACAAGGATTAAATGCTCTGCTAACTTTACCACCTTCCCTACCTTCCCTGTCTCACTTCCCCAACTCCCTTTCAGGTATTTCCTCAGGACGCTGTCTTGTGCTCGGAACTATTCCTGCTTTAGAAAAAAAAGGACTCTACTAAAAATACAAAAGCCAGGCCGGGGGTTTAGCTCAGTGGTTTCAGCCTGCTGCGCAAGCGCAAGGACCCAAGTTCGACCCCCAGTACCAAAAAAAAACACAAAAAAATACAAAAGCCACATTACTTGTCATTAACCCGAAAAGCAATATAAAAATAAATACAATGTTATTAAATTCTAGCGACATCCTGCTGTCTGCTAAATCTTCTGAGCCTGAAGTCTGCTTTCCCTGTTTAAAGACTGGCAGACGTTGAAAATTGTTAATCAACTGGTTCCAAAATACCTTTCTGTTTATGTAATCAAAAGGATTCAAATAAAACTGAAAAAGAAATTACTCTCTCACTATGTGATTCTGTCTGTGAATCCCTTATCACTGCACCAGCTAAGAACATCACATACGCACTCTACACTGAAAGCTGAGACCTAAAGAAGGTAAATGGTATGTTTGCTCAAAGAAAACCTCGGGTATCCTAATGTCAAACGTGAGCGCACCAACCTTCTGGGCACCCGAATTGCTTAGTTCAGTAAACCACAGGCTTCAAGTACAAGATTCACATCTCAGCAAATCACCAAGGCAAAGATGTGAAGAGGAAAAAGAAACAAAAATGCAGAGTCCTCTAGTTCCAAGGACAGAATGGAGACCCAACACTTCAGAAGCAGTGACTGCTGATCCCTCATGTATCTTTCGTGTTTTTTTCTTTTAAAGACCACTGAAAACAGACATGAAAATGGCATGAGAAATAGCACAAAATCCTAAAGCCTCTTTCAACATACCAAAACAAAAAAAGCTACATGTACTTCCACACACATATACATTTATTTCCACATATATTTTTCTTGAAAACTAAAGAGAAAGTCAATTCAGCTGACCTGACATGCTAGCCAACATAACCTTCTTGGCAAGAGACCAGCCAATTTTCACCGGGGGGAAGAAGACAGTAGAACTCAGATAAGCACCAACAAAAGCACAGAGAGCCTAGAGAAATGAACACAAGTGGGAAGAAGCAAGGCTCTTCACAAGACCTCTGGTCCAGACTTACGATGACAGTCCAGGAAAGTTAAGATATTAGTTACTCCTTTGCTTATCTTAACCCAACCCCCAGTTAAAAAACAAAAACCATTAGTTTGTTCAGTTCATCAGCAGTTTTATTCTACAGCCTCAGTGTGCATGTGTGTATAATCCTCAACTTTAAAACTAGATCCTATTTTTAGAGAAATGAAATCACTTTCGACTTTGCCCACTGAACAGTTTCAACTACCAAAAGAAATAGCCAAATCCATAGAGCGTAAAAACACTACTCATTTTAAAAAGGCAACATGGAGTAGGTTAGAGTATAGATCACATGCAGTGACATTAGGAGACGTACAAGGTATCATAACTTGGACAATATGGTCCAACTTTTTATTTCTTGATTTAAGTAGTTCAGTATTAAGTACACATTAGAAAATATATAAGCAAAAGGAAAAACTAAAAATCACTCAAAAATTCCACCAATATACTGGTATACAGCATCAGTTTTTCTCCAATGTACATTTTACATGGTTAAAGACCAAGTACAGCGTCTTCCATCTTGTCAGTCAGTTAAAGAATTCCTTGAGTTCCACCTTTAGATAGTTAACTAAATTCTTTTTCTGGACATAATGTGCAATGTCAGCAATATGAACCCCACCAACACCACTGAAAAAGCATGGAACCCAGACAAAAATGAAATAACAAATTTCTAAATTTTATGTAGATTAGATTTTCCACTTGAGAATAATGGACTACTTTTTAAGCTGGTTTGAAAAGGCAAGACAAAGCTAGGCACAGTGTTGCACACCTTTAATCCCAGCTACTTAGGAGACGGATGCAGGAGGATCACTTGAGCCCAGGAGTTCAAGGCCAGTTTGAACAACATAGTGGGGGAAGGGTACTACATACCCAAATGCACACAGGGGCTAGGCAGTAACATAAATGAATAAATCAGTTCTGCTATAAGAATAAAAAAAGAGTGAACTGCAGAAAGTATGTGCCCTCTAGAGACATTCAAGTTCAAAAAATTTATTTTTTTGCAATGTAAACATTTTTAAGAAGTCTGTATTTCTTTCATTTTTAATTTTATTGGTATAATTTAGATTTACATAATGATCACACTCATCATAGGGAATTTGTACCTTCACATAATGTATCAATTCCTTTATTTCCCCATTCCTCTCCCCTTCCTTCAACCCCTCCTCCACTTCCTTATTTACAAAAGCCCCGTTTCCATTTTTTCCTCCTTTTCTCATTTTTTTTCCTTTTTTATTATGCCTTTTGGTCTCTGTCTTTCATTAAAACTTAAAATATTAATGTTTATTATTGATCTACTTCAAACTAGACATAAAGAGAAAGAATTCCAGGCTAAAGTCCCAACTTTAAATAGTAAGTATTCCATAAAGTCTGAAGTAGATCAATTTAGTGAGTCAAAATAAATGCTTAACAGAAAAACAAGACAATGAGAAGAATGCAAATTAAAACAACACTG